TAAAGTTAAATTCAACTTACATTTCATTCTCATATCACGTCTTTCTTCGTTTATTACGGTTTTAAGAGCGTGTGTCTCTAAAAACCGCCCACTGACTTGGGGCTCGAAAAATAAATTCATTCGAAACTTTTACCGTGAACTACATTTACTTTAACATCAAACAACTGCTGTTTGGAATTTTGAAAATATATTTAGTTTCAAAGTTTTAGCGATTTTTTGGTCTCGCACCGTCGCAGGACAAATTCGCCGGCTAATTAAACGAAAAAATGGGCTGAATTTAAATAAACATAATTTCAAAAGATTTTGTTCAAAATTTCTGATATTCACACCCAGCACCGGAAAACTATCGTAATTTCATCTAAACTAACTTAGGTTTTCAATTACAGAGCATTTGTGACAATATTTAGCGACAAAGAGCGCCATGTCAAAATACGGCTTTCAAATCCTACTATTTTCTACGCTGAATTTCTTAAAAGTGGGACCTAATTACATACGGTGACTAGTATAGTTGGAAAAAGGACACTTTGAAGTACTAAAAACCGTAATAAAACTCGTCTGCAAACGCGATTTGAACAATTGAGAGCGTTTGAAATTTGATACTCTTTATGGCCTTTTGTTTACATTAGAATGTTGCTGAGGTCGGACGTCTGAGTTCATGTCACTGCTAAAAATGCGCTGTAGTTCTGCCAAATAAGATTTCCCTCAAATAAGTTTATAGCAATATAGTACTAATCTATATTTCTTTGTTTATGTCCACCGTAAGTGGTTCCAAGGGATTTAAAATAATAGGCATGTTAAAATAAACAACTTGACCAAATTAATATGCTACTCGGGGAAAAGCCCGCGTGCAACGCGAATTCTATATGTGGCACATGCTACATATACTTTTTTTAGTGTGATTTAGGGCCTGTTCATATGATCCCGCTTACCGGGACGTCTCAACAAGGACAGATTTCGTTCTAAGCCAATCAGCGCGTTTGTTTACATTTTCGCTCTTGACCAATCAGAATGCTTAAAATTTAAAAACGTAAACAAAAAGAGCGAGAAAATATTATCGAAATCTAAGGCTTCCGTGAGCTACAATATAAACTTTTTTTACCCAAAACCGAAAGATTCTAACAGAAAATACATGTATCTTGAATTTTGTCGTGGGACTTTTTAAATTTCGACACAGAACGCGAAATATCGATGTTTGAATTACCGCCGTGATTGCGCTCTGTAGCCGCATCATATCGTCAAAATCGATCGAAATAACGCTGTTTTCATTGGGAAGATTTTGTGGTTTATTCCGTTTTATAGTGCATGCATATTCTGGTATAACTTACTGTACTGTACCTCTGATCGTGTTGTCAGAAATGCGTCAAAAAGTTATATTGGGCGGTGATCAGAGGGCGTTGATAAAGTGCAATTTCATATCCGGTTTCTTGTTCGCTCTCGATGCATGCGCCTGTTCCTCGATCTGTTTGATTATTTTGTCCATAAATACAGTATGTGCTTGTTTGTTTTAAATAATTTTCAATGAGGAAACATCGAAACAGCACCTATAGACAAAGTGCCAGTGCAAATAGATGAAACCATTTTACTACAGCACAGTGTTTATGTTGGTGTCAAATTTATGTCGTTTCGAATGTCGGATTCCTTGCAGCAATTCCTTTCGTTTTCTCCATCTTCTAGCTGGATCTCGTGCTCATCATCATCGTCGTCTGCTTCGCTTCCATCGTCGCTTTCTGTGTCTTCTGCCTCGTCTTCGTTCTCCTGCAAAGTCGCTCTCAGATCGTGGTTGAAAACAGCCTCGTTCGCTACCTTGCAAGGACCTCGAGCTTTGTCAGCAATGTCGACTGACAAATCTGGCAAACACTTATGTCAGGCAAAACACATTCAATGTGGAAAGAATGACCACAACCACGAAATACTTTCCACAAGGGACTTTCTTTCTCGCATTCAGGTAAATCGCATTTTCTATGACGTAAATTAAAGTAAGTTAATACTTGTAACTATTTAGACTGTCTGTCCGAATCTTTGTTTCAAGAATTTTAAATGTCTGTTTGTAGGTCCCTTTTCTTTCATTTTGTATGGAATTAATGAAATTTTTTATCAATCCTTCAGTTTTTACATACACCTTGCATAGTGTGTTCTAAAAATCTAAAATTGGAACAATATAATTAGAATAATTTGGGTACATTTTCAAACATTCTTTTATTTTGTAACAAGTACTATATTTTTATGTAATTCCCCTTTGAATGTGGAAAATGGTTAAATAAGAAGGATAAGTAGATATAATGTTAATTGTGTATGTTTTTTGTTTAACCATTAAACCACAATAACATGCACTGCTGTCAGCCAATTGTACTCAACATCTAGGTGGAAGTCTTGTGGTTTAATGGGTTAACCAAACAATCTGCCAATATGTTTTGTTAACCCATTAAGCTACAATGCACCCTACTGTATTATTTTAAATACTATGTCTAACACCAGACGATCTTACTCGTCAAGTGGAGAGTGTTGCACTTTAATTTTGTTTGACAGCATTCATAAACAGAATACTGTGAGCATGTTGCCCCCCCCCCCGCCATATTCCATATAATGATGTTTTTGCCTTTACCTGTTCGGATTTGGAGCTTGTTGAACAGAAGTAAAGCCTAGTGGCAGGACTCGATTGTTCACAATTTTTTCTCCAAATAGAGTTGGCAGTTTCCATTTGGTCAGATCTAGATATTTGGGTTGCCGTCGAACTCGGGGTTGCTGGGTTGCCATGTTAGGGTGGTCATTTGGGATTCAAAGAAATTTTGCAGCCTTTGCCTTCAACGTATCATTATAATTCTCTTTGAGTTGTAGTTGAATATCTTAATTGGCACAAAGACAGACTTAAAAGAATGCAGTTCATGCTTGCATGCATCAATCTCTTTTGCTTTGAATGCAATCTGGTCAGCTGAATCTGTTCCTTTTGTTCTTGCTCTTAGGACTGAGTGGAAATTTTCGACGGGATATTGATCGAATGCCACAATACACTGTCGCACGGTTTCAAATATGGAGTGGGTATTTTCTTGCCAGTGTTGAAACAGGGTTGGAGGGGGGGCATGCTCACAGTATCTGGTTGTGAATGCTGTCAAACAAAATTAAAGTGCAACACTCTCCCTCTGACGAGTAAGATCGTCTGGTATTAGACATAGTAAAATAATAAAGTAGGGTGCGTAGATTGTTTGGTTAACCCATTAAACCACAAGACTTTCACCTTGATGTTGAGTAAAATTGTCTGACAGCAGTGCATTTTATTGTGGTTTAATGGTTAAACTCAAACATACAAAATTAACATTATTTATCCTTCTTATTTAACCATTTTCCACATTCAAGAAAAAATTAACTGAAATAACATAAAAATATAGTATTTGTTACAAAATAAAAGAATGTTTGAAAATGTACCCAAATTATTCTAATTATATAGTTCCAATTTTAGATTTTTAGAACACACCATGCAAAGTGTATGTAAAAATTGAAGGATTTATAGAAAATTTCATTAATTCCATACAAAATGAAAGGGTCCTACGTCCTACAAGCAAACATTTATAATTCTTGAAACAAAGACCTAAAAAACAAAAAAAACCCAATTCGGACAGACAGTCTATCTATAAAGAGGTTACAAGTAACTTACTTTAAGCTTTATTTACGTCATAGAAAATGCGATTTAATTACCTGAATGCGAGAAAGAAAGCCCCTTGTGGAAAATATTTCGTGGTTGTGGTCATTCTTTCCACATTGAATGTGTTTTGCCTGACATGAGTGTTTGCCAGATTTGTCAGTCGACATTGCTGACAAAGCTCGAGGTCTTTGCAAGGTAGTGAATGAGGCTGTTTTCAACCACGATCTGAGAGCGACTTTGCAGGAGAACGAAGACGAGGCAGAAGACACATAAAGCGACGACGAAAGCGAAGCAGACGACGATGATGATGAGCACGAGATCCAGCCAGAAGATGGAGAAAACGAAAGGACAATCGATACATTGCTGCAAGGAATCCGACATTGGAAACGTCATTGACACCAAGATAAACACTGCGGTCGGTGCTGTAGCAAAATGGTTCCATCTATTTGCACTGGCACTTTGTTTATGGGTGCTGTTTCGATGTCTCCTCATTGAAAATTGTTTAAAACAAACCAGCACATACTGTATTTATGGACAAAATCAATCAAACAGCTCGAGGAACAAGCGCATGCATCGAGAGCGAACAAGAAACCGGATATGAAATTGCACTTTATCACCGCCCTGTGATCACCGCCCAATATAACTTTTTGACGCATTACTGACAACATGATCAGAGGTACAGTACAGTAAATTATACCAGAATATGCATGCACTATAAAACGGAAGAAAAACTACAAAATCTTCCCAATGAAAACAGCGTTATTTCGATCGGTTTTGACGATATGATGCGGCTACAGAGCGCAATCACGGCGGTAATTCAAACATCGATATTTCGCGTTCTGTGTCCAAATTTAAAAAGTCCCACGACAAAATTGAAGATATATGTATTTTCTATTAGAATCTTTCGGTTTTGGGTAAAAAAGTTTATATTGTGGCTCACGGAAGCCTTAGATTACGATAATATTTTCTCGCTCTTTTTGTTTACGTTTTTAAATTTTAAGCATTCTGATTGGTCAAGAGCGAAAATGTAAACAAACTCGCTGATTGGCTTAGAACGAAATCTGCCCTTGTTTGTTACATATATTATTAAACAGATCATGCATGTGGCGTAACTAAATGTATTCATAAGTTTGAACAAGTAAACTATAATCAAGTCCATAATCAAGTTGCCATACAACACATGCAGTTTTATCTAAAGTGACCCACCTATATATATATATATATATATATATATCATGAATAAATATTAGAAACTTATGAAAGTACCAGTTGATTGGAAACAAGGCGATAAATTCTCTCAAACCATGTTTACCTGGACATACCTAACTAAGCTATATTATTTTAACCAATGTGTGATATTGCTGTGCTGAGTGGTTATATTACTACCTGAAATAAACAAGCAGAAGTTTCTGCTTGTTTATTTCAGGTAGTAATATAACCACTAAGCACAGCAATTTTATATTATTTTATACAAGAAACACTTGAATCTGGCTATCTGTCATACACACACCTATCCTATTTGGCATTACAATAAACATAATTTGATATAAGTCAAATGTAAGCCTTGTATAAAACTATTGTATTTATATTCATCGTTTTAATTCAAATATTGTCGTAGCAAATTTTAACGACGGAACACATGCTCCAACCTCGTTCCCAGGGTCTTTAGGAAAGACCCTGGCATCGGCTGGTCACGTGCCTGGCCCAAAATTTAGCGCCCAATGGGGTGTGGGGAAAGTAGGCTATCAAATTACAAACAGTTAAAAACATAAATTTTGCGAATTATTAAGTTCAAAATACTTGTTATTTTATTTGCTTT